GGCAGAAACGCGCCGCCCGACCAGCAGCCGTCCGTCAGGAAATACCTCGGTGGCGTGGTGTGGTTTTCTTCTTTCTTCCCGTACCCCCTTAAACTGCTTCGTGTCTTTGTGTTGCAGAACGGAACGCGAAGGACTCGCCTGCTGCGGGAGCTGGGCTTAAACAACCTAAAGCGTTTTCCTTCCTCCAGCGGGTAGTCTGGCGGCCGACTGTTATCGCCAGCAGCATGGCAGAGAGCGCTGGGGCCGTGGGGTTTTGCTGCGTTTAGTTTTCTAACGTCTTTCTGGCAGCGTTGTTTGAAGCGGGGGGGAAGAGGAAGAATGTTTTGCTTCGTTTTGCGTTGGGTGATTTGGAGGTGAAACGTTGTCTGGCTTTCAAGAAAACGTGATTACAGGGGGAGCGGCACAGGAGTGCCACGGAAATGACTTCTATATGTGTTGGTGCAGTGCCAAAATTTGGGAAGATCAAGTAGAAGTTAATGCTGTAAATGTTGAAGTTGCTATTTAATGGTAAAAATTCTTTGGTTGTTTAGCTCTTAATTGCATAGAGCACTTTCCCAGCTCAAAACAAACTTGCACAGACCGGTTAAAAAACAAGGTTTGAGAAGTGCCTGGAGAGAAGTCAGGATACAGGTTTTATGAAAGGAGCAGAACTTTATTTGAAAGGCTTCAATCTAGCATACCTTGAGATGAGTATAGAGAAGCACATGTGGAATAAGAGGCACTTTTCGGCTGTGTAACAAAGCAGACTTTAGCAGTCTGCTCTTCTATAAAGTGCTCCTACTTGAGTAAAAGGAGGCTCCCAAGGGCTGGTTGCGATGAGGTTCACTTCCAGTTTATGCTTTGAAATAGAAGCAAAGCATCTGCAGTGAAATATTCCAGGTTTGCTCTAAAATATTTGCAGTTTTTATAACCATATAAATAGGCCAGTGGTATATTAGCCCATATATAAGACTTGGCATTTAATTGCATAGTTTGAGCAGCTAGGAAATACTAGCGGCCTAAAGCAACCCTCAGTGAAGCAGGCAGCATTTCTTTGACCCTGTTGCCTTTTGAGGCAGGAGATTTGACTTGTTTTGCTTAAGTTCATCGAATAGAAGGTCTCTGTGGAATGGAAAGAATTTCTTTCCAAGTCCTTGAAAAATGCTGATGAATTGTAAATATTTCCAGGAGGTGACTTTGATAGCTCTTTGGGGTTACGTTTATGTGCTGTTCAATACTCTTCTGATATTACTTAATTTCTTACTTTGCCTTAGTAAATGAATCTTTCAAAGTCATCAAGGGGCAGGGGTTTATAAGGGACTGATCCGAATGCAGACGTGATACTGCCTTTTTACTTGGTGTTGATGTTGTGGTATGACCCTGCTCTGCTCTGCTCCGTTTTCAGAGTAAATGCGCTTATATATAATATATAAAGGCTTCTATGCCTTTATCACAAATAGCTACAGCCCCTGTAGAAAAGGAAATAAAAAGTAGCGGAATAACAACCTAGTGGAAAGTAGTTCTGGAGTAAATGTCAATATATGAAATTATATTACTTTAACCATGCCAGTGTATAAAACTGTTCCTTGTACCAGGGATGAAAAAACATTTGATACGTGCCCAGATGTGCGCAGGAGCTCCTTAAACCCTGTGAGTTTGGGCAAGAAAGGAAAACCTTAGAAATTCTGTTTGTAGCCTTGCTCTGAGATCACATCACTGCTACTTGAACTGTGGTGTTTATTGCAAGTTGTTGCTGGTCTGAACTCAGCAACCAGACTTGCAATTATAGATGCTTTCTCTTTGTCTTTTGTACCCCTCCTGATTTTTAGCTACTGATTTATTGCCGATGTTAATGTGAAATACCCTTGCAAGAGGATCTCTTGCTTGGGATCTTTGTGATGGCACAGGTCGCTCATAGGAGTCGTCATCTCCTCCTACGAGCAGAGTCAGGATCAGCCATCACACGTTCTAAAAGGGGCTTGTAGGAATTTGGGGAATTGCCATGCTGCTGGCCCTTCATTTGGGTGAGCAGCCTGTCACAGATACTGAGATGGCAGAAAAAGGCTGTACTCCAGAATATGAAAGTTGCTGCCTCCCTTGCCCCCAAAGTGCCGTTTCACGGATGATGACCTTTGAGGTGCATAGCACTAGAGCTGGTTATGGCTGCAAGCCTGTGTCCCTGCCTAGGTCCCCTGGACGCCTTTTTGCTTGCTAAGAGGACAGTAAGTATGGCTCTTGAGGAAAGCTGCACTGCAATGAATGACACTGTTTGACTAGAGCTAGGAACCTGGCCACGCAGCTACATCTTCAGCCCTGTCTACAACTGCTAGTTTGAGCAAGTGTGTCTGTGATAGCATTTGTCTGCTGGAATCTGGACAGCTGGGATGCTTTCTTCTCACTAGGAAGTGGGGTCTAGCATTGGTTCTGCCCTGGCAGACCCCTCTGTTGACAGGCGATGGACATCGGTACAGCGTGGATTTACAGCAGCTCGGTGAGTGGCCACCCAAGAGCTAAGCTTTTCTAACTGTGAGCTGAACACAGCGTCAGGTTCATTGAACTGGGTTAACTCAGTCGCACTGGACTGCGTGAGTGTGCCATGGGCTTGGTCTGTGCCTAGGAGCTTTGGCAGGTTGGTTATGTCAAACTGCCATCGGATGTTCTGATCACAACTGCTCTGTGCAAAGAGCTCCTTTTCCTGGTTGTCTTTTCTTGAGGTTTGCTGGCATAGCTGTTTGTGTAATTGCTCTATAATCGAGTTGTGCCAGAATGAAGTGTTTTGCCTTAAATACTTTTGATGGAGAATTGCTGTTTATTTTAATCCCTGGCAGAAGATGAGGGTAACCCAGCTAAGAACTGTGAATTGCCCTGTGGGCTCCTTTAAGAACGTGGAGGACCTCACATCCTCATCTTGCTGGCATAGCAGTGGCAGGGGGAAAAAAAGCATAGATGTAAACAAAAATATTTCCGAATCTCTGTGTGTGTTTGTTTTTTTTTTTTTTTTTTAAAGGTAACTCATTTGGCCAGTACTGGTCATTAAATTGTATTCTTTCGTAATTCTGTTGTCAGTCTGGCAGTCTATTTAAAATGTAGGCGTAAGTGTGACCTTAAACGTATGTATCGGTGGGGAATGCTGGAGACTTTTGGGAGTCCTGAAGGCAGCTTTTTCCGTAAAGCGTTGTGTACAGAACAGAGAACTTGTTAGCACAGATAAAGGAGTCTGTCTCTCACAAACATGCATCTTAGCATCTTGTCTGAGCAGGATCAGACTTCTAGGTGTTGATCTCATAACCAGGATTACTCCAGGTATGGCCCCCAGCGTTGTCTTAAAGTGAAGCCCTTCTGCCTGCAAAATAATCCGAGGCTGGCAATTCTTCCAGCTTGATGGGGTGTGCAGGCTACATTTTGTGTTAGCACAGCTAGTCAGCTGCTAATGGAATCCCTCTGTGCAGTAATTCAATCGCTGCTTGCTGCTCAGGTTTTATTTTGCAGGGTGGCTCTTTCTCCAGTGAAGCTAGTTCAAGTTAATGCACCGTTAGATTATAACGTCCTTACAGATGGTCCGACTAGTGTTTTTGAAAGGGACTGAGCACGTGGTAGATGCTTATATAGATTTTGCTATGAAGGAAGAAACTTCGGTGTATTTTTTTTCAAACTTCATTTAGATAAAATAGAATTCATGACAACATTAAAATCATTCCAGGAGTTTTTTCTGTGTTCCTTACATCAGCTGATTTGAAGGATAATTAGATTAGCAATAGGAGAAGCATTTTTAATGTGACCGAAAAATTATTGCCCAAAATTTAGCATTGTCAATCTCCTCATAACAGAACGTCTGGAAACAAAGTATATTCTGCCTTATGTTCAACCACTGCTTGAATTCAGTCGAGGTATGTATAGCATAGTACCAGAGTCTCAGTCCTTGCAGTCCAGTATTTGAGAGTCTCTCCAAATCAGGATTTGTTTTGTTTTGTTTTTTTAACTCCTACCCAGTTACTAGGA